TACAAACATAGTCAAATTGTCGACCAAATACGTGGGGTGGTGGTACGTAGATAACATGTGCGGGCACGAGGAGGAGAAAAACAAATGAGATCGTGAAAGAGAGGGGAGAGGGAGGTGCCAGAAGAAGTCAACGAAGTAAAGGAATTGAGGTTTTTATCTCAAATGCACTAACCCCTCCCAACCACGATCTGTCGTAAGGAACTCGAGTGTGGAGGCAGACGCATACCTGGTCATGATGTTGGTCAGCATGGTCGACATATACATGTAATTCGGTTATTGCGGCTGACACCGGTAGGTTGTTCTGCCACATCACAGTAAAGAGTAGAGTAGTTGAATAACCGCAGTCTAGGTACCGAGCACTGTAAAAGGAAAAAACTTCGATCGAGTTATGGCGGTGGCAATAATCTGTTTTCGTTGATAGTTGAACTCATTGTTTTGGTTCTTCATCTCAGGGCATGGAGGGGGCAACTGCCGTTTGCTGTGCTTACTGTGTGCTATTGAGGCCTCCTACTGCACACAGTTGTTGTGTGGTGCTATGTTGAGCGACGCTGTGTATGTTGAGCTTACTGTGTGGTGCTGTGTTTTTGTCATTTTTGTGTGTTTTTGCTAAATTCATCATTGCGTCTTGTTGTGCCTTTACTAAGTACTTGTTGGGCAATTGTCATGAGTTCGTTGTGCACATGACTGCAAGGGGGCAATTGCTGCAACTTGCAGGTCCGTCAGGGAACCATTATGCTGGGTTTTGGCCGAGGGTTGGTCGTCTCCACTACGTTTCGCCACCATTGCGGGGCCCTTAGGAGAGTGAAGATAACAAGGCCGTCTCCACGTGAGTCTGAGTGAACCTTTTCCCTAATCTCAAAAAACTGACTTTCTTACTTGTGTCTTTCTTGATCTAAAGTTCAGTCTGTGTTCGAGAGAGGAAGGCGGCGGGTGGGATTGCAACCCGTAATCCGCATCGAGACCCTGTTGGAGGTCAACCCAATGATTGCGGGAGCTCTGTCGAAGCCCAGACGGGGTTATGGAGGCAGGGAATACTCAGATATAACATCGTTTTCACACATGATCCTGTATTCCCCTAATTCTATTACCTTATATTTTTGGTTGAACATATGATTGAAATTATTTACCTTTAACTTTATTTTGCATATATCTTATTGCAGGATTATTATGAATTGAAAGGAATGCGATGTGTATGAAAGTCAAATCCTTTATCTGTTTCAACTAAGAAAAAGGAAACGGGAGAAGGTTGGAAGAATGCGTTTTGATTGCGTTTAAACGGGTCAAGCAAAAACTGAATCCCTATAAGTTGAGTGATTGAGTGTTGTGTTTTTATTTTATGTTTGTTGGGTTGAATGAATGATTATTAAGGACATGATTGATCCTAAGTTGGACGGTCCAGTCACTTGTTTCCTTTGAGGGTTTCTGAACAGGAGGATGGATACCCTAAGTTGGGAGGCTCAGTTCCCGATGTTTATTTTGGTTTGCTGAAATAGAATTGGGGATATTCTAAGTTGCGTGAACCCAGTTCTATGTGTTTTCTTTTGAGGGGGACAAAGGCATGAGACTAGGCGTACCCCTAAGTTAAGGAGGCCTAGTCATGAGCTATGAACTTAACGGTGAACCGAAGTATAAAAATTGATATGTATATTATATGCATTTATACCATCTGGCAGGTTGGGCACCCTAAGTTGGGAGTTCCAGTCAATAAGTCGTGTAGAAAAAAAAAAATGAAGAGAAACAAACTAAGAGTATAATGTAAAGTTACCCCGAACAAACTGAATGTATCCCTAAGTTGGGGCAGTTCCGTCCTATACCGGTGATAATATAAAAAAAGACAGAGAGTTAGTATAAAATTTTCTTATTTTAAACATAAATAAGGCAAGATTGGATGTCTCCCTAAGTTGGGTAGGCTAATCGTTTGCCTAAGAATAAATAAATTATAAAGTTTGTGAAAAGGTATTTATAATTGTTTAAATTGTTGTTACAGAGGCAAGCGTACCCCTAAGTTGAGGCAATTTAGTCATACGTCGTATATAGCTTTATTTAGGCAAATCGGGCGTACCCCTAAGTTGGGGCGGTCAGGTCATATTGCCTTATATATCTTAAATTATTTAGGATAACTAGGAGAACCCCTAAGTTGGGGCAGCCTAACGATATGCCTTTTGTCGTTATGTTATGTAGGTTGGGTGTAACGTTAAGTTAGGACAGTCTGACCATTCGTTGTTTGTTTTTATTTAGGCAGATTGGGCATACCCCTAAGTTGGGGCAGTCTAATCCTACGTCATACGTAATTTTTACTTAAAGTTGACTAGGCATACCCCTAAGTTGAAACAATTTAGTTTTATGCTTCATGTTGTCAGTTAAGCAGAAGTCGGGCGTACCCCTAAGTTAAGGCGGTCTGGACATATGATTTATGTTCACCGTTTATGTTGGGTTGGGCATAACCCTTAGTTGGGGCAGCCTGGTCATACGTTTTTCAGTCATATAAGCAAGGCATACCCCTAAGTTGAGACAATCTAGTTGTGTGTACCCTATTCACAGTCTGATCTTATGTCATAGGAAATGGGGTTTTACAGAGGATTAAAAAAAGTGAAAGATTAACGAATTACTTGGCTAAAGCTAATTTGGGATTGAGAGAGATGTTGATTATGCATGTTTGATTGCGCCCACTCGTTTGGGGCATCTCTTAATAGATTTAGTTGCCCAGATGCTCCCCGAGTGTTGGAGTCATAGATAGACTGGAATAAATGGTGGGAAGAGAAGCTTGGGATTAAATAGGTTTGACCTTACTAGGAGTTTATATGAATCTATTTTTCATTCCAAAGGTTTACGTTTGGTCGCAGGCAGAAAAGTTTCATGAACATTCCCCATGTTGAAAATCATTCAAGGAACTCAAATATATTCAGTCTGAGGTTAAACCTTGACTTATATATTTTTTGTGTATGTCTGCTTCCTACCTTAAGTTAAGAGAAAAAGTTATGGGTGCCTCTTAGTCTAAGTATCACAAACGCGAAAAATCATCCATAAAAAAAGTCGTTCTAAAAAATTAAGTAAGTTCGGGAGATCAACGCCTCAAAGTCCGAGGTTCTAACGGGTTAGTCTTAAACGTTCTACCGCGTGCATGCCTATGCTACAACGATCGAGAAGAACACCCTCGACCGACCTACCTCTACGATTGCAAGTAAAAGTCTTCGCAAATGAGTCAGTAACTCAGCAGGGATACACCTATCTACCCCTCAAGTAGAGGTAAGTTGTACCTCACGAAGCTATGTCTTGTGGCAGAGAGTCACGAGAGGTATAGCTGGCGCACATGGTCGGAGTGGTATCTCCGTTGACTCTACAATTACCTTACTCTTGTGTGACGCAACTTTGAGGTCACTTACCACAACGTGTGAGACCGTCACGATCGACAACGTGTATGCGAGTGTCTGTGGGACATGCGCGACTTCGTAGCACAGATCGCGCGACTATAACAATTTCTCTCTTAGACAAAGTGTTCGACCTTGGTTAAATCTGGGTTCGTTATTGTGGACACTGCCTTTCCCCTTACTCTGTTTTATTACTATTTAACGAGTTTATTGTTGTTATGTGGCTGAATGTTGCTTCTTCTTGGCCTTATGCTCCATGTTTTGATTGTCATTGTGTGGAATGATTCGACTATGTGCTACGTGGAGACTGGTAATTTGCAAACAGAGTTGTGCAACTGCGCCCCTCGAACTCTGATTCTGAGCTCTGTGAGACCCGTTGTCGAATGATCGTCCATAGTCGGGATCCTTCGTATACCCCTGCACCGTTCCAACCAGTGTAGAGGCGTCGTAGAGTATAGCATGAAGTTTAACAATACTTTTTGAATGAGCTAGACGTTGTTTGTCTACCGTTTTGTTCCTCGCCATCATTTTTCAACCATAATCAGAACTGCATGAAAGATTTCCATTTCGATTTGAGACTTGACACTCACTTTTTCCTAAATTCTTAGCATACCCCCGTTGTGGGTTTTTGGGACCCTTTCCACATTTAGTCCACTCCGTGAAGGAAAGCAGCGTAGGGCGTGAGGTTGGTATCCGAGCCAACACGTGTCGGTTCTTTATCAGTTAACGTGTTGGTGACAAGATAAAGAAGACTGTATTCGACCCTAGTTGTCTAGGCGAAGTCCGCCTGTTACTCGCAATCGTTCTGCAGTAGAGGGTAGGAGAATAGTTGCATTAGAATATTGGATTAGAAAATTTTCTACATTGTAATCTTCTAGTGGCCTTTGGTCTCTTCTTGGTTTGTTGAGGTTTCATGGTCGTGAGGTTATTTCTAGTTGTGCGGCTTGCTCAGGTATGGAGTGGTTATTATCTTCAGTTTGTTCGGCTTTGAGGTCTTGTGTTTTCCTTCTTTCCTCGGAATGAGGTTCAGGACAATGGTCTAGATTTGGCCATATCGTGCGTGGAATATAGCTTCTCATCACTGAAGCTGGGAACGGTCCCAATAGTGACTTGTTTCTACTCCGGGTTGCATTGTGGAGGGATTCCCACCCTCCCCTTTTTCCGTTCGCAATTTGCAAAATACCCCCATAAGTTGAGATATATGCCAAAATGCCCCTAAAAGATGTGAAAAGAGCGGAATGCCCCTCTGACAAAAGAGATATTTTTTTGAAATACCCCTGATGTCCGTTGAACTTTGGAAAATGCCAAGTACTTGCCAACTTTTCCAAGACCCTATTGCAAAAGTCCAAGGCCTTAACGCTGTGGTCCAGATTGAAAATTTGCACACCAGCCTAACAGGGTGCATAACTCAAAGATTTTGGCCCAAAAGGGCATTACGTTCTACCCACATCTTTCAGGGGCATTTTGTCACCTATCACAACTTCTGGGGGTATTCTGCAAATTATCCCTACAAAAATTTAAAACTAATTTTTGTAAAGAAAAAAAACAAAGAACTGCCCTTTCCGTTGTGGACAGCGCCCAGAGGAGAGCGCGCGCTACGGCATGTCCGTATCCGTAGACTCTGGTTTGCGCTGCTGAGAAAAGAACAGGCAGGCGGAGCAGCGTACGGGCTGCGTGCAAACGGGCGAGCGGAAGTACTCTCTCTCTCTCTCTCTCTCGCTCTCACACACATATCAGCCGTGTTGTGAGTGAAGACGTCCCAGAAAGGAAATAGGTGGGTTCGCGCAGCACGGAGAAAGCTCTCTCTCTCTCTCTCTCTCTCTCTCTCTCTCTCTCTCTCTCTCTCTCTCTCTCTCTCTCTCTCTCTCTCTCTCTCTCT